ACGGGAAAACAAAAAAGGAGGAGGCTTAGCTGCCATTTTCAGAGACCACTTTGTCTCCCATAGAATGTCTCTTGGGAAGTTTTCGTCTTTTGAATATGTGTCTTTTAAAATACAACAAAAACAATCTCCTCCAATACTCTTCATTGTCCTATACAAGCCACCGCAGTCATGTCACAGTTTTATTGATAATTTTACCGAGTTGCTTTCAGTTGTATGCACAGATTTTGATAGTTTGGTTATTACAGGTGATTTTAATATTCATGTGGATAATGTTGATGACAGAAATGCAAATGAGCTGAGTTCTGTACTTGAATCCTTTGATCTCACTCAGCACGTAAGTGGCCCCACCCACAGCAGAGGGCACACTCTAGATCTGTTAGTTACAAAGGGGGTGATTATTTCAAATGTAAACGTGGTCGATGTTGCTCTTTCGGATCATTTCTGTGTTTTTTTTGACATGTGTTTCACTAACAAACCACCAGTGGACTCTGCAACTGTACGAAGAAGACACATAAATGAAAATACGAGTGAACTATTTATGGGAATGATAAACTTTGAGAATGCATCGTATTCTACTGTAGATGAACTGTTTAACTCTGTCACCTCTAGTGTTTTGAATGTTCTGGATACCGTTGCCCCTGTGAAGGTTAAAATAGTGAAAAATAAGCAGAAGGCGCCGTGGGCTAAAGCAGACTCGGTCAGGGCACAAAAGAGAAAGTGCCGGAGGGCCGAGCGGAAGTGGCGCAAGTCCAACCTCCAGGTTGATTACGAGATCTTCAAAGATAAGTTGTGCGAGTTTAACCGGGTGCTACGTAGTACGAGAGAAAGGTATTTTTCTGAAATGATTGAAGGCTGCAGCAACAATCTGCGTGTTCTGTTTTCAACAGTTAATAGATTAACAAACCCCCCTGTTCAAATGCCATTAGAGCTTACTTCCAAACGTAAATGCAATGAGTTTGCAAATTTTTTCAATGACAAGGTTCAAGGCATCAAAAACGCCATTGTCTCCAATCCACAGATAACCATCCAACAGCCAGAAAGGCTCTCTGAGCTAACTCACTTTGCACCTGTAAATGATAAAACTGTCCAAGAGATAATCTCCAGTTTGAGCTCCTCCACATGCAGCTTGGATGTACTACCCACTAGATTTCTGAAGTCTGTTCTGAGCAGTCTGTTACCTTCACTCACACAGATAGTAAACATGTCCCTTCATTCTGGAATATTCCCAAAGGCCCTGAAAACTGCAGTCATCAGGCCCCTGCTAAAAAAGAGCAGTCTCGATGCTACGGTACTTAACAACTATCGTCCCATCTCAAATCTGCCATTTATGGGGAAAGTCCTTGAAAAAGTTGTCTACCTACAGCTTACTAGATTTCTTATAATCAACAACTCATTTGATATGTTTCAGTCCGGCTTTAGACCCCACCACAGCACTGAGACTGCTCTCGTCAAGGTTACAAACGATATCCGGCTGAACACTGACGCAGGCAAAGTCTCAATCTTAATCTTGTTAGATCTAAGTGCTGCCTTTGACACCGTCGACCATGAGATCCTCTTACAGAGACTAGAGGACTGGGTTGGAGTCGCTGGCACCGCCCTAAGTTGGTTTAGGTCTTACCTTGAGGACAGGAAGTACTTTGTGGAGATTGGAAACTGTGTCTCAGATCATATGGCCCTGACCTGTGGAGTACCACAGGGGTCGATCCTGGGACCTCTTCTGTTCAATCTCTACATGCTGCCGTTAGGTCAGTTAATACGCAGAAACGAAGTTTCCTATCATAACTATGCAGACGACACTCAGATCTATGTCTCACTGACTGCAGGAGAACATGGACCAGTGGACTCACTCCTTCACTGTATCCAACAGATCAGTGAGTGGATGCAAAACAACTTCCTTCAGCTAAACACAGACAAAACTGAAATGATTGTCTTTGGTCCCCAGAAACAAAGAGAGAGCGTCATCTGTCACCTACAGTCTCTCTCCCTAAAACCTTCAAACAAGGTCAGAAATCTAGGGGTAATACTGGACTCAGACTTAAATTTTAATAGCCACATCAAATCAGTAACATCAGCAGCTTTTTACCATCTAAAAAACATTGCCAGGATCAAAAACATAGTGTCTAAAGCAGACTTGGAGATTCTTATCCATGCATTTGTCTCCAGTAGGTTAGACTACTGCAATGGCCTGCTCACAGGTCTGTCCAAACAGGCTGTAAAACAGCTGCAGTACATTCAAAATGCAGCAGCTCGAGTCCTGACAAGAACCAGGAAGTACGACCACATTAGTCCAGTCCTCAGGTCTCTGCACTGGCTTCCTGTGGCTCAGAGAATAGACTTTAAAACAGCTCTGCTTGTGTACAAGTCTCTCCATGGCCTCGCACCAAAATATATTAGTGACATGTTAGTCCCATATGAACCAGCCCGGACTCTGAGGAGCACAGGGACTGGACTCCTGTTAGTGCCCAGAGTCAGAACTAAACATGGGGAGGCTGCTTTTCAGATTCATGCTGCTAAAATCTGGAACAGTCTTCCTGGAGATGTGAGACAGGCCTCCTCTCTGACAATGTTTAAAGCCAGGTTAAAGACAGTTCTGTTTAGCTGTGCATACAACTGAGGGATTTTATATTTGTATCTTTCTTTTTAATGTTCTGTGATTATTTATGATTTTAATGCTTTCTTGTTTTGTTCAGCACTTTGAATTGCCTTGTGTATGAATTGTGCTATATAAATAAACTTGCCTTGCCTTGCCTTGCCTAAAAGTGCCGTTACCGGCGTCTGCATCAAAGCTCCGCCCACTTCTGTGTTTTTCCCCAACGCAGGACAGGACGTAAGAGACGCACATGTTTGGAATGTTACGAATGTGATTGATAACGCAGATGTGTGGATGCAAATTATTTTATAAATTGAGGATGGGACATATTTAGATTTAAAAAAACAGGCATGGCACATGGACATGGCGCCACAGTCAAATGACATCTGTGTTTTACTCAGTAATGTTTTACTGACACTTAGGGGACTGCACATGCGCAAACAACCGCGCTCAGTGCAGGAAAGCTAAACCACGACAAACTTGTCAGCGAGTTACCACCAATTTTCCGGACTATGCCTCCCTGGCCGATTCAATTCAGTGCAAGTCATCAGAGTAAACTCGGGTAATGACAAAAAATGTACATAGGTAATTGTGTTGTGTTGTGCTATATTGGCTCATGCGGTTTTGCATGTACATAAACATAGGTATAAAGAATATTTTTTGAAATAAAGATATGATTTGCATTTTTGTAGTAGGTAGATCATTTTGACTTGATCCTTTTATAAGTAGCTCGCATGCTGAAAAAGTGTGAGCACCCCTGGTCTATGGTGTAACCACCATGGAATCTAACGGTGCTAATGCTAGCGCCAGAGTCATGTAGTTTCCGTGGGCTTCCTCCGGCCTCGGCAGCCATGTTTACAGAGGTCAGAGGTCGTGTCATCTGACCTTCGGCCGCGTGTCTCGGACACTCGGGTGAAGAGAGGGGCAGAGCTGTCAACCGATCACCACTTGGTCGTGAGTTGGATCCACTGGCAGGGGAGGAAGCCGGTCAGACCTGGCAGACCCAAGTGTGTTGTGAGGGTCTGCTGGGAACGTCTCGCTGAGCCCCCAGTCAGACGGACTTTCAACTAACACCTCCGGGAGAGCTTCTCCCAGGTCCCGGCGGAGAAGGGAAGCATTAAGTCTGAGTGGACCATGTTCTCCGCCTCTGACACGGCTGATACGTCTCTGTAACATCGCGTGGCGATCGGGGGCGGTGCCAATGGAGTGGCAGACCGGGGTGGTGGTCCCTCTCTACAAGAAGGGGGACCGGAGGGTGTGTTCCAATTATTGTGGGATCACACTCCTCAGCCTCCCTGGTAAGGTCTACTCAAAGGTACTGGAGAGGAGACTACAGTCGATGGTCTAATCTCAGATTCAGGAGCAGTGTGGTTTTGGTCCCGGTCGCGGAACACTGGACCAGCTCTATACTCTCCATAGGATACTCGAGGGCTCATGGGAGTTCGCCCAACCTGTCCACATGTGCTTTGTGGATTTGGAGAAGGCGTTTGACCGTGTTCCCCGGGGTGTCCTTTGGGGGGTTCTCCGGGAGTACAGGGTTCGGGGTCCTCTGCTGAGGGCCATCCGGTCCTTGTATGACCGGAGCCAGAGCTGCGTTTGCATCAGCAGTAAGTCAGACCTGTTCCCGGTGCATGTTGGCCTCCGCCAAGGCTGCCCTTTGTCACCGGTTCTGTTCACTGTGTTTCTGAAGAGAATTTCTAGGCGCAGCCAGGGGCCGGTAGGGGTCCGGTTTGGGGACCACAGGATTTCATCTCTGCTGTTTGCGGACGATGTTGTCCTGTTGGCTCCAACGAACCAGGACCTACAACATGTTCTGGGACGGTTTGCAGCCGAGTGTGATGCGGCTGGGATGAGAATCAGCACCTCCAAATCTGAGGCCATGGTGCTCGACCGGAAAAAGGTGCCTTGCCCTCTCCAGGTGGGTGGAGAGGTCCTTCCTCAAGTGGAGGAGTTCAAGTATCTCGGGGTCTTGTTCACGAGTGAGGGAAGGATGGAGCGTGAGATTGACAGGCGGATCGGTGCAGCGTGCGCAGTCATGCGGTCGCTGTATCGGACCGTTGTGGTGAAGAGGGAGCTGAGCCGAAAGGCAAAGCTCTCGATTTACCGGTCAACGTTCGTTCCCTCCCTCACCTATGGTCATGCGGGAGCAGTGTCTGCAGTCAGAGCTCTCTCACCTATGGTCATGAGCTTTGGGTAATGACCGAAAGAACGAGATTGCGGATACAAGCGGTCGAAATGAGCTTCCTCCACAGAGTGGCTGGGCACTCCCTTAGAGATAGGGTGAGGAGCTTGGTCACACGGGAGGAGCTCGGAGTAGAGCCGCTACTTCCCAGACCTCAGTCCTGTCCTGAGTCTCTCTGACCTGGACTTCACTGTATCCACTGTAGCCACATTCTTCCTCAGTCTCAACATGTTTGTGTCTCTGCCCCTGCAGCTGTCCTGCCCTGTCCTTGGGGGGGGGGGAGACATGGGGCAGACATGCAGCAGGTGTGGGCACATGTTAGCAGACTTCACACATTACAGAGACAAAGGTCCTCTGTGGCAGAGACAGACACAAACGCAGAGACAGTAACAGACACAGAGACAAACACATAGACAGAGACAGACACAGAGACAAACACATAGACAGAGACAGACGCAGAGACAGACACAGAGACAGACACAGAGACAGACGCAGAGATAGACACAGAGACAGACACAGAGACAGACGCAGAGATAGACACAGAGACAGACGCAGAGACAGACACAGAGATAGACACAGAGACAGACACAGAGTCAGACACAGAGACTGACACAGAGTCAGACACAGAGACACAGACACAGAGACACAGACACATGTCTGTGATGTCGTGCAGCAGTGCTTTCAGTTTCATTTGAACCTATGGTGGTGTTTTCACATGTTAAAGATGTCACAGAGCGGGGGGATGGAGAGTTCTGCTCTTTTTAGTCTTTAAGAGATAAAGACTTTTTTAGTTTTTATCCTGAAGCTCTGGGAAGTGAAGCAGGGCAGAGCATGGTTAGTGCTGTGATGGGAGACCTCTACAGCTGTACACTACTGTACGAGTGAGTGAGTGAGGTGAGGGAAGTGAGTGAGGAGTGAGTGAGTGAGGAGAGGGAAGTGAGTGAGAGTGAAGAGTGAGTGAGGAGTGAGTGAGTGATGCATGTGAGGTGTGTCTTAAACAGGACTCCATGACAGTATCTGACAGAATTTAAATATTACACGTGAGGTCTCCGTCTGTCCCTGTGCTCACACAGAGTCTGTCCTTATGCTCACTCAGAGTCTGTCCCTGTGCTCTCGTTCTGGGACATCTGTGGAACATGGTTGTGAACAGAGTGTTGGCAGTCGGCCCCTGGTGTTGGGGCCCGAGTGTTGGCTCTGAGCCCATAGAGATGAGGGGACTCTCCATTCTCTCCTCTCTTGCCCCTCTCTCTCCTCTCTCTCTTATATCCTCTCTCTCCTCTCTCCTCACTCTCCCCTCTCTCTCCTCTCTCTCTCTCTCTCTCTCTCTCTCTCTCTCCTCTCTCTCCTATCTCCTCTCTCTCCTCTCTCCTCACTCTCCCCTCTCTCTCTCCTCTCTCTCTCTCTCTCCTCTCTCCTATCTCCTCTCTTCTCTCCTCTCTCTCGCCCCTCTCTCTCCTCTCTCCTCACTCTCCCCTCTCTCTCTCCTCTCTCTCTCTCTCTCTCTCCTCTCTCTCCTATCTCCTCTCTTCTGTCCTCTCTCTCCTCTCCCTCCTCTCTCTCCTATATCCTCTCTCTCCTCACTCTCCCCTCTCTCTCTCCTCTCTCTCTCTCTCTCTCTCTCTCTCTCCTCTCTCTCCTATCTCCTCTCTTCTCTCCTCTCGCTCTCCCCTCTCTCTCCTCTCTCTCTCCTCTCTCTTCTCTCTCTCCCTCTCCTCTCTCCCCTCTATCTCCTCTCTCTCCCCTCTCTCTCTCCTCTCTCTCTTTGCTCTCCCCTCTCTCCTCTCTCCCCTCTCTCTCTCCTCTCTCTCTTTGCTCTCCCCTCTCTCCTCTCTCTCCCCTCTCTCTCTCCTCTCTCTCTCCTCTCTCTCTCTCTCTCTCTCTCTTCTTTCTCTGCCCTCTCTCTCTCCTCTCTCTCCTCTCTCTCTCCTCTCTCTCCTCTCGCTCCCCTCTCTCTCTCCTCTCTCTCTTTGCTCTGCCCTCTCTCTCTCCTCTCTCTCCTCTCTCTCCTCTCCTCTCTCTCCTCTCTCCCCTCACTGTCTCAGAACAACAGTTGCTCACACCTGGCTCCGTCCTGTGGGGCCCCGAGATCAGGAGCCAACACTGGATTAGGCTGAGCTCAAGTTACACAGAGACAGACACACACACACACACACACACACACACACACACACACACACACACACACACACACACACACACACACACACACTCACAAAGACACACACACACACACACACACACAAACACACAGACACACACACCAACTGCTCAGGGACTCCCGCCTTTTCCCCTCACATTCTGTCCCTCAGAGTCTCCTGTCTCATGTGGGACAGAGCTGAGACATCACTGTGGACTGGAGGAGGAGGAGGAGGGAGGAGGAGGGAGGAGGAGGGGAGGGGGGGTGATGTCTCTCAGTGTATCTAGTCTCAGGGTCCTCACATAAACACTGAATGATGAGAACAAGAGACACAGTCCTCAGGGACCTCTGGGACAGGGACCTATGGGACAGGGACCTCTGTAACAGGGACCTCTGCGACAGGGACCTCAGGGACAGGGACCTCTGGGACAGGGACCTCTGGGACAGGGACCTCTGGGACAGGGACCTCTGGAACAGGGACCTCTGGGACAGGGAACTCTGGGACAGAGTCCTCTGGGACAGGGACCTCTGACAGGGACCTCTGAGTCACACTTGTGGATCCTGCAGAGACTGAGTCCAGCTCCAGTCTCTCCTCAGACAGGTCCTAAATGCCTTTTTTCCTCAGACAGGTCTAAATAGAGGGGCCCCTGGGGGCCAGGCCTCTGTGTCCTGGGTCTCCTCCTGGTCTCCTCCTTCTGTGTCCTGGGTCTCCTCCTGGTCTCCTCCTGGTTCTACAGTTTTTGGGTCCTTGGATGGGTTGAAACATTTCTTATAGACTCATGAATAAGATGTTTATCACTTTGTTAGAACCATGAAGAGTATAATGGTCTGCAACAGATTCAGATTCATTTATTTGCCATTTGCAGTAAAACCACATTGGAAAAACTGTGCAAGACTACCCCAGTGTGCACCAGACGACACACACCAGAGCTCTTGCCACGGCGCCATCTTTACGGCGCCATGCGAACATGCGGTCCACGCACCTCCTTATCACTGAGACAGCACCTTATCACTGAGACAGCACCTCCTTATCACTGAGACAGCACCTTATCACGGAGACAGCACCTCCTTATCACTGAGACACCTCCTTATCACTGAGACAGCACCTCCTTATCACTGAGACACCTCCTTATCACTGAGACAGCACCTCCTTATCACTGAGACACCTCCTTATCACTGAGACAGCACCTCCTTATCACTGAGACAGCACCTTATCACGGAAACAGCACCTCCTTATCACTGAGACACCTCCTTATCACTGAGACAGCACCTCCTTATCACTGAGGAGGGGGAGGAGGAGGGGAGGGGGGTGATGTCTCTCAGTGTATCTAGTCTCAGGGTCCTCACATAAATACTGAATGATGAGAACAAGAGACACAGTCCTCAGGAACCTCTGGGACAGGGACCGCTGCAACAGGGACCTCTGCGACAGGGACCTCTGGGACAGGGACCTCTGGGACAGGGACCTCTGGAACAGGGTCCTCTGGGACAGGGACCTCTGGGACACACTTGTGGATCCTGCAGAGACTGAGTCCAGCTCCAGTCTCTCCTCAGACAGGTCCTAAATGCCTTTTTTCCTCAGACAGGTCTAAATAGAGGGGCCCCTGGGGGCCAGGCGGTGGTGGAACCTGAGCTCAGGTGTGAGACACTGGGCCCTCAGGGGCCTGGAGTCACTTACATGAGTCATGGAGGAGTCATCCACACACAATAGGACATTCCACTGTGTGTGGACATTCCCCTGGACTCCCGTATCTGTGTGTGCGTGTGTGTGTGTGTGTTTATCTGCGTGTGTTTGTGTGTGTGTGTGTGTATGTGTGTGTGTTTTTGTGTCTGGTGTGTTTTTCTCTGTGTGTGTGTGTGTGTGGTGCTTAGGCTGCAGTCCCTGTCCTTCTCTAATGCGATTACATGATCAATAGCAGAGAGACCCCTGGAGCCTGAGGCCGGTCCCCAGGGGCCTCCACTTACACTGTGCAGTTAATTACTGTGAGCATCAGAACAACTGACTCATCATTTACTCATGGACAGTTTTTTTGTTTAGCACAAGCTCTACCAAAGGCTGAACAATAGGCTCAGCACAGACCTCTCCACACACACCTCCTCCTGCTCCTCTGGGGGAATCCTGAGGCCTCTGTGTCCTGGGTCTCCTCCTGGTTCTCCTCCTGGTTAAACATTTCTTATAGACTCATGAATAAGATGTTTATCACTTTGTTAGAACCATGAAGAGTATAATGGTCTGCAACAGATCATATTCAGATTCATTTATTTGCCATTTGCAGTAAAACCACATTGGAAAAACTGTGCAAGACTACCCCAGTGTGCACCAGACGATCTTTACGGCGCCATGCGAACATGCGGTCCACGCACCTCCTTATCACTGAGACAGCACCTCCTTATCACTGAGACAGCACCTTATCATGGAGACAGCACCTCCTTATCACTGAGACACCTCCTTATCACTGAGACACCTCCTTATTACTGAGACACCTCCTTATCACTGAGACAACACCTCCTTTTCACTGAGACACCTCCTTATCACTGAGACAGCACCTACTTCTCTCTGGGAGCCTCCTCAGGGTGCTCCCAGTCGCTTCAGGTTTGTAACTGTCCCTGTGCTGTAGGTTTGTGTATGTCCCTGTGCTGTAGGTTAGTGTCTGTCCCTGTGCTTCAGGTTTGTGTCTGTCCCTGTGCTGTAGGTTTGTGTCTGTACCTGTGTTTCAGGTTTGTAACTGTCCCTGTGCTGTAGGTTTGTGTCTGTCCCTGTGCTGTAGGTTTGTGTCTGTACCTGTGTTTCAGGTTTGAAACTGTCCCTGTGCTGTAGGTTTGTGTCTGTCCCTGTGCTTCAGGTTTGTGTCTGTCCCTGTGCTGTAGGTTAGTGTCTGTCCCTGTGCTTCAGGTTTGTGTCTGTCCCTGTGCTGTAGGTTTGTGTCTGTACCTGTGCTGTAGGTTTGTGTCTGTCCCTGTGCTGTAGGTTTGTGTCTGTCCCTGTGCTGTAAGTTTGTGTCCGTACCTGTGCTGCCTCCACATGGGACTGCATCTACATGGTACTGCATCTACATGGTATTGCATCCACATGGTACTGCATCTACATGGTACTGCATCTACATGGTACTGCATCTACAGGTTAATAGATGCACTGGTCTCAGAGCACGGCTCATTGACATGAATGAGGAGAAGACGATTTAAGTCTTTTTTTCCTCATTCTGTGTTTGCAACAGTTTCAAAGCACATAGTCCAGGATCAAAGTCTTTGGATCTGTGAAGAGAAAGAGTGTTCTCCCACTGCTCCTCTCTCCTCTCTCTCCTCTGTCCTCTCTTCTCTGTCCTCTCTCCTCTGTTCTCTCTCCTCTATACTCTGTCCTCTGTCCTCTCTCCTCTGTCCTCTGTCCTCTCTCCCTCCTCTCCTCTCCTCTCCTCTCCTCTCCTCCCTCCTCTCCTCTTTTCTCCTCTCTCCTCTTCTCTCCCTCCTCTCCTCTCCTCTCTCCTCTCCTCTCTCCTCTCCTCTCCTCTTTCCTCTCCTCTCGTCTCCTCTGTCTCCTCTCCTTCCTCCTCTTAGCTCTCCTCTCTCCCTCCTCCCCTCTCTCCTCTCTCTCCTCTCCTCTCTCCTCTCTCCCTCGCCTTCTCCTCTCATCAGCCCGTCTGTAGTGCTGCAGAGGAGGACCTCAGTCCGGTGAGAACAGACCCTCAGATCCTAATCCTCAGACCCTCAGATCCTGTCTCTGCCCTGAGCATTCTCTGCTTTTCACATGAGGTTTTCCTGCTCAGGTTTGGATGTATTTATATAACTGTGTAGTGAGCACTTCTCCTGTGTCGCGATAATCCACCCCTCCACAAAAACATCACACACATGAAGAAGAAGCTTTAGCCTGAAGACAACAGACAACAACAGACTCTGTAATCATCCGTGTGTGTGTGTGTGTGTGTGTGTGTATGTGTTTTTTTTATTGTTTATGTGTGTATGCATGTGCAGTTTAACCTTTAGCTGGTCCTGCTGTGTGTTGCCTCTTCCTCTGCAGGGGCCAGTGGTGGTGGAGGCTGGTGGTGGTGGGGGCCCCGGCCCCCGCTAACACGGCGCATGAAATATTAAAGCAGCTTCTCTAACGAAGGCTCAGAGTCTGAAACATTTATAGTTTATCAGCAGAATCTGAGAGAGAAGCGTCTGAGGCTCAGATTCTGCTGCAGTCAGGGATCCTCCCAGGAGGGGCCCCCACAGCAGGTCCCTGTGCACTCAGGCTCAGGAGGGGCCCCTACAACAGGTCCCTGTGCTCTCAGGCTCAGGAGGGGCCCCTACAGTAGGTCCTTGTGCACTCAGGCTCAGGAGGGGCCCCTATAACAGGTCCCTGTGAGTCCCCTACTATCACCTGTGAGCACTGGTAACAGAGTAACAGGGACAGAGTAACAGAGTAGAGTACAATTACTAACTGTGATAATTAGAACCATTCACAGCAGGGATACACACATCAGTGCATTGTGGGGACCGGACGTGGCTACAGTAGTTTATCCCACAGTGGGGCGGCTGCGGCTGTAAAGTGCCAAACTGCCGTTGTGTCCTTAGGCAAGACACTTCACCCCCATTGCCTAGAATGAGTCTGGTGTGTGTGTGAATGGTTGGTGGTGGTTGGAGGGGCCGATGGCACATACTGGTTGCCTCGCTTCTGTCAGTGTGCCCCAGGGCAGCTGTGGCTACACTAGTAGCTTATCACCACCGTGTATGGAGTGAATGAATAATGACACATGTGAAGCGTCTTTGAGTGTCCAAAAAAGCGCTATATAAAACCGATGCATTATTATCACCTCTGTGTTTGGGGAGAAAGAATAATGATGTGAAGTGACTTTGAGCGTCCTGGAAAGAGCTGTATAAAACCGATGCATTGTTATTAGGCCTGTCGCGATAGTCAATAAATCAATTAATCGCACGATAAATAAAATTTGCTCAATCACTTTTCTGGCCGCGATAAATCCCATTTGCATGCTTGTTTGTTTCCCCCGTCTCTCTCTCCCCCTCTCTCTCGTCAGAGAGCCGCAAAGTGGTCACGGGAACACTAGCGGTCTAGCAAGCAGACAGAAATTACTCAAAAATACAAAATACAGCCAAAACAGGACCTAAACCAGGACTTAACCAGGATTGACAATGGGGGACACAGTAGTTGTGAACATATGCCGGCAGCTGAGTTCTCATTCAGGCTTGATTAGTGACTATACTAGCGCAGCTAGCGTTAGCGTGTTCGCCGATGCAGAAGTACCGTCCCATACCAATAAAATAAACTTATGGCGCACCTCCGTGAACACATACTGCTGTTATATAAAGTCTCTAGAAGGTCTCTGAACACAGAGATGCTGCAGACTTGCATTCTTGGAGTAGAACTTTACACAAAAAACCCGCTAGCTTAGCTGTTTGCATCAAAGCCCGCCCCGCTACTTCCGGTGGGCACTACCGCAGCAGGACTTCTGTACGCCCCATTGGTGAACCCACATGTCAGTCACTTGTCATTCGCCTGGTGTGTGGGGAGGTGGGACTACTCCTGAGAGATCCTGTCTTAAGCCACACAAAGTCAACATGTTGGTATTTCTTTCTCTTAATCTGCCATAAAGTCTGAGAAATTATTGACATTTGAGGCATCTGTTTCATATTTTCTTTACAAAGGTCCTGGCAGTTTTATTCCTGGTCATTTTTTGTTAAGAGACTGAGTCTATTTTATTTATTGTTTTTGGTTGTTTGTTAATTTATTGTGTTCTAGCGTTAAATATTCGTTAAAAATAAAAGTTTATTTCTCTTTGAAAAGGTGTACCTGCATTATCATTGTAATCGATGCAAATGATCTCAGAACGACAATATAATCGCTTATCGCAATAATTTCTGAGACAATTAATCGTCCAGCAAAATTTGTTATCGTGACAGGCCTAATTGTTATTATTAGTATTATTAGTAGTATTTTTATATGCACATTCACAGTTACAAACACACATACACACACACACACACACACACACACACACACTGACTCATTAGGATCCTGTAAACTTCCAGACCCTCTGCACACAGTCGTCCTGAGACTAAACAGCAGCAGATCAGAGTCTGAGGAAATCCTCTAAAGAAGATTATCACAGCAGGACCGGCTACGAACACATCTGAGACAGTGGCCGAAAGCAGGGTCCGAGGGGGGGGGGCAGAGAGCGGGGCCGAGGCCAGACTCAGATCTCTGTCTCAGTATGTTACAGCAGAAGTACTAATGTGTGTGTTTGTGTTGCAGTGTGGTGCAGGCTGGAGCTGAGCGTACAGGACAGTGTGGAGGTTCTCCTGGGGGCCCCTGCTCTCGTCCCCTGTGACTTCAGCTTCAGCGACAGCCAGGGGCCCCCCTTCGTCATGCTGCAGTGGTTTGTGGTGAGTCCTGCAGATGATGGAGGGTCAGAGGTCACTGTGAAGAGGGCCTTACAAACAGGGCCTTACACATAGATATACAATATGCACAAATATGCACACACACATGCCTAAATATACATGCACAAATATACACACACACACACTGGTTTAGTTTTAGTTTATCAATTTATTTCATACATATTTTTACAATTCAAATTAAACATCTTTTCAGGCACTTGGTGAAAATAAAGAGGTGAAAATAAGGTCTGAAAAAGGAATAGGCAGAAGCTCAAGCTTTTCGTCGCCTACGCTTTAGTAAACACTAAACTTATATAGCTGCGACACACAAACCAAAATCCTACATTTTCTCCATAATTATGATAATTTTCTGCTCAGCTTCACAATCAACAAATGTTTGAATAATATTCTCCTTCAGCAACGTCTCAAACACACAGTTATTAACACACTTAATGGTTCCATCTCTGTTGTTTTAAAGAATTCATTTTGTATTTCGTGGCCGTGACTGTGGTCCACACTTCTCTGGACAGCAGAGTGGGAGGGGGGTAAAGCTGGGAACCTCACAAACCACAAAAAATGTAGCTATGAAATCAAATCCATCTCACAAGTTTCTCCCTCTCAGAACAGTTTCATTCTGTCTCTCGTTTCCACATGTGTTTCTGGCTCCTGCCACTCTGTAGATGCGCATTATCAGACTGAAAAGTGACACATGTGACTTTACAAAGATGTCTTCTAATAAGATGAAGACGCCATGATTTAGTCTGATTTTAATGAGAACTCAGACTGTATACAGATGGACAATGCTAACATAGACTGTATACAGATGGACAATGCTAACATAGACTGTATACAGATGGATAATGCTAACATAGACTGTATACAGATGGATAATGCTAACACAGACTGTATACAGATGGATAATGCTAACATAGACTGTATACAGATGGATAATGCTAACATAGACTGTATACAGATGGACAATGCTAACACAGACTGTATACAGATGGACAATGCTAACACAGACTGTATACAGATGGATAATGCTAACATAGACTGTATACAGATGGACAATGCTAACACAGACTGTATACAGATGGACAATGCTAACAAAGACTGTATACAGATGGACAATGCTAACATAGACTGTATACAGATGGATAATGCTAACATAGACTGTATACAGATGGACAATGCTAACAAAGACTGTATACAGATGGACAATGCTAACACAGACTGTATACAGATGGACAATGCTAACCTAGACTGTATACAGATGGACAATGTTAACATACAGTAGACTGTATACAGATGGACAATGCTAACACAGACTGTATACAGATGGACAATGCTAACACAGACTGTATACAGATGGACAATGCTAACACAGACTGTATACAGATGGACAATGCTAACACAGACTGTATACAGATGGACAGGACACTCCACATGGTTTCTGCTCCTTATGGACCAATGTCTCTGTGTTTGTTATCGTTGCCTTTCCTGGGTTTGAACTGTTTGATTCTCTGATCTGTGTTGGAGAATCGACTCTGAGACTCTGTTGCGATACATAAATAAACTGAAGTGCTGTGTGCAGCGGTCTCCAGGGAACAGGTCTCGCTCTCGGATCTTCTACGGTGACGGCGAGCTGCAGCTGGTGGATAATAACACAGAGTACAGCGAGCGAGTGGAGGTCAGCTCTGGGCAGAACCACAGCCTCCTGACCATCAGGGACGCCCGGCTGTCGGACCATCAACGAGAGTTCTTCTGCCAGGTCAACGGGCTGGCGGCGGGCAGCGCAGAGGGCAAGAGCACCCTCAGGGTCTATGGTCCGTCTATACTATCATTTACTCTATATTCACATAAACATCCTTGTTACACCTGGATGGCATTGAATTCATTCATTCATGTTTGAATGAAGCAGATTGAAGTGTTGCTATTTCTCCTCATGTGTACCATGTGTAACATGTGTACCATGTGTACCCGTGTTATGGTTCTGTGTATTGCTTTTTTTTTTATTTGTTTTTTTAAATGTATTTGTTCCAAATCATCTTTCTCAAAGCCCTTTTCAAAACTGTGTATGTCCGTGTGTGTGTGTGTGTGCGTTTGTGTGTGTGTGTGTGTGTGTGTGTGTGTGTCTGTGTGTATGTGTGTGTGTGTGTGTGTAGCTCCTCCAGAAGCTCCGGTCATCGAGGCGGTTCCTCATGGGATCTCTGTGACTGAAGATCAACCAGCAAAGGTTTGTGTTTGTCCACATGGTCTCCTGGTGCAGGTGTGTGTGTGTTCTCTCTCAGTTGTGTGTTCTCTGGTGCAGGTGGGTGTGTTCCCACTCAGTTGTGTGTTCTCTGGTGCAGGTGTGTGTGTTCCCACTCAGTTGTGTGTTCTCTGGTGCAGGTGTGTGTGTGTTCCCTCTCAGTTGTGTGTTCTCTGGTGCAGGTGTGTGTGTGTTCTCTCTCAGTTGTGTGTTCTCTGGTGCAGGTGTGTGTGTGTTCTCTCTCAGTTGTGTGTTCTCTGGTGCAGGTGTGTGTGTGTGTGTTCTCTCTCAGTTGTGTGTTCTCTGGTGCAGGTGTGTGTGTGTGTGTTCGCTCTCAGTTGTGTGTTCTCTGGTGCAGGTGTGTGTGTTCGCTCTCAGTTGTGTGTTCTCTGGTGCAGGTGTGTGTGTGTTGTCTCTCAGTTGTGTGTTCTCTGATGCAGGTGTGTGTGTGTTCTCTCTCAGTTGTGTGTTCGGGTGCAGGTGTGTGAGAGAACACACAACTGTGTGTTCTCTCTCAGTTGTGTGTTCTCTGGTGCAGGTGTGTGTGTGTGTGTTCGCTCTCAGTTGTGTGTTCTCTGGTGCAGGTGTGTGTGTTCGCTCTCAGTTGTGTGTTCTCTGGTGCAGGTGTGTGTGTGTTGTCTCTCAGTTGTGTGTTCTCTGATGCAGGTGTGTGTGTGTGTTCTCTCTCAGTTGTGTGTTCTCTGGTGCAGGTGTGTGTGTGTTGTCTCTCAGTTGTGTGTTCTCTGATGCAGGTGTGTGTGTGTTCTCTCTCAGTTGTGTGTTCGGGTGCAGGTGTGTGAGAGAACACACAACTGTGTGTTCTCTCTCAGTTGTGTGTTCTCTGGTGCAGGTGTGTGTGTGTGTGTTCGCTCTCAGTTGTGTGTTCTCTGGTGCAGGTGTGTGTGTTCGCTCTCAGTTGTGTGTTCTCTGGTGCAGGTGTGTGTGTGTTGTCTCTCAGTTGTGTGTTCTCTGATGCAGGTGTGTGTGTGTTCTCTCTCAGTTGTGTGTTCGGGTGCAGGTGTGTGTTCTCTCTCAGTTGTGTGTTCTCTGGTGCAGGTGTGTGTGTTCGCTCTCAGTTGTGTGTTCTCTCGTGCAGGTGTGTGTGTTGTCTCTCAGTTGTGTGTTCTCTGATGCAGTTGTGTGTTCGGGTGCAGGTGTGTGTTCTCTCTCAGTTGTGTGTTCTCTGGTGCAGGTTGCTGTGTGTGAAGCTCAGAATGGTTTCCCCAAACCCAACATCACCTGGTACAAGAACGGAGAGCAGCTGGAAACCAGTCCTGGAGGTGAGTGTCACATGGTACAGTCCTGGGGGTGAGTGTCACATGGTACAGTCCTGGAGGTGAGTGTCACATGGTACTGTCCTGGAGGTGAGTGTCACATGGTACAGTCCTGGAGGAGAGTGTCACATGGTACAGGCAGTGTGAACACATTTGTTCTGTAAGCTCTCTTGGATCCAGTCTGTGGTGTAACAATGAACATGTACCATGTGTGTTAGTGAACATGTACCATGTGTGTTAGTCAACATGTACCATGTGTGTTAGTGGACATGTGTGTTAGTGAACATGTACCATGTGTGTTAGTGGACATGTGTGTTAGTGAACATGTACCAAGTCTGTTTATGAACATGTACCATGTGTGTTAGTGAACATGTACCATGTGTTTTAGTGAACATGTACTATGTATGTTAGTGAACATGTACCATGTGTTTTAGTGAACATGTACTATGTGTGTTAGTGAACATGTACTATGTGTGTTGCAGAGGTGAAGTTCCTGGTGCTGCACTGGCGCGCCTCTTCTGGTCTCTTCACGGTACAGAACACTCTGATGGTGCGAGTGGTGAAGGAGACCAGAGACGCCGTGTTCTCATGCCGTGTGAGCTTCATGGTCCCAGGAGGCGTCCGCAGCCTGGTGTCCAGCACCATCAACGTCACAGTGCACTGTGAGTCTCTGCAGCTGGCCCACAAACTGGTCTCACTGATCTCTACAGGAGACTGATGGTCTCACTGGTCTCTATCTCTCTCTTGTCTCTCTCTCATGTCTCTCTCTCATGTATCTCTCATGTCTCTCTCTCATGTCTCTCTCTCATGTCTCTCTCATGTCTCTCTCATGTCTCTCTCTCATGTCTCTCTCTCATGTCTCTCTCTCATGTCTCTCTCTTGTCTCTCTCTCATGCCTCTCTCTCATGTCTCTCTCATGTCTCTCTCTCATGTCTCTCTCTCATGTCTCTCTCTCATGTCTCTCTCATGTCTCTCTCTCATGTCTCTCTCATGTCTCTCTCTCATGTCTCTCTCTCATGTCTCTCTCTCATGTCTCTCTCATGTCTCTCTCTCATGTCTCTCTCTCATGTCTCTCTCTCATGTCTCTCTCTCATGTCTCTCTCATGTCTCTCTCTCATGTCTCTCTCATGTCTCTCTCTCATGTCTCTCTCTCATGTCTCTCTCATGTCTCTCTCTCATGTCTCTCTCATGTCTCTCTCTCATGTCTCTCTCATGTCTCTCTCTCATGTCTCTCTCATGTCTCTCTCCCATGTCTCTCTCATGTCTCTCTCTCATGTCTCTCTCTCATGTCTCTCTCTCATGTCTCTCTCATGTCTCTCTCTCATGTCTCTCTCATGTCTCTCTCCCATGTCTCTCTCATGTCTCTCTCTCATGTCTCTCTCATGTCTCTCTCTCATGTCTCTCTCATGTCTCTCTCTCATGTCTCTCTCATGTCTCTCTCTCATGTCTCTCTCATGTCTCTCTCTCATGTCTCTCTCATGTCTCTCTCTCATGTCTCTCTCTCATGTCTCTCTCTCATGTCTCTCTCATGTCTCTCTCTCATGTCTCTCTCTCATGTCTCTCTCTCATGTCTCTCTCTCATGTCTCTCTCATGTCTCTCTCTCATGTCTCTCTCATGTCTCTCTCATGTCTCTCTCTCATGTCTCTCTCTCATGTCTCTCTCATGTCTCTCTCTCATGTCTCTCTCATGTCTCTCTCTCATGTCTCTCTCATGTCTCTCTCTCATGTCTCTCTCATGTCTCTCTCCCATGTCTCTCTCATGTCTCTCTCTCATGTCTCTCTCTCATGTCTCTCTCTCATGTCTCTCTCATGTCTCTCTCTCATGTCTCTCTCATGTCTCTCTCCCATGTCTCTCTCATGTCTCTCTCTCATGTCTCTCTCATGTCTCTCTCTCATGTCTCTCTCATGTCTCTCTCATGTCTCTCTCTCATGTCTCTCTCATATCTCTGTCCTCCTGCAGACCCCACGTCGATGGTGGAGTTGTGGACAGAGTCTCCTCCTGGTCTGCTGCGAGAGGGGGACACTGTGGAACTGCGCTGCCAGGGAGACGGACACCCCCCACCCACCTTCATCTTTACCAGGGAACAAGTAAGAATGTCACACACGCACACACTTACACACATGCAAGTAAGAATGTCCCTCTACATCCCCACACCCCCATCCTGAGCGCTCTGGGGGTCTTCAGACAGGCTGATCCTCTGTCCCACACACACTCACACACAGACACACACGCGCGCACACACACACGCACACATACACGCAGACACACTCATACACACACAAAAACACGCACACAAACAAACTCTTTTGTGGTCTCTGTCTTGTAATTCTTTCGACTAATTTGCAATTCTTTTCATGTGTGACATCACAATCAGACGTCATACAATGGTGATTAGCTGTGTTTACATTCAGACTGCACCAAACCAAGACCACAGCTCCAACATCTCTAACAACTCTGAGTCTGAGGTGCAGCTTCTACAAAACCTTCTGTCTCATTAGAACTTCTGATTGGCCCGGCTCATGGCCCGGCTCATGGCCCGGCTCGTGATTGGCTACTCTCTGATTGGTTGCTGCCTCTTTGACCAAGAAGTCGCTCAACTTCAGGGAGCAGCCAGTTCTTCAGAGAAAAATCATTTCAACTGTTTCTATTCACAATCTCATCCTTTGCCCAAAGCTCAGCTCAACATACAGTAGATGAAGATGGGAATCTGAGAATGCCTTTACCAAAGTCCAGGAATCCTGGGTCCACAGCCTCAGTCCTGGATCTACAGCCTCAGTCCAGAGGGTCCAGAGAGTCCAGAGGGTCCGGGTCCTGCTCAGAGGAAGACCACTCCACTGTCACTGTCAGAGCTTTGACAATCCCACAGTGTGTGCTCTGTGTCTGCCTGCTCTCTGGGGTTCTGTGGGGCTCTGTGGGGCTCTGTGGGGCCTGGGAGAATGTGGGAAAAATATTAAGATAATGTAAAGCTCTTTATACTCGTCCAAGAGTCTCAAAGAGCCATTATTGGGTCCCTCCAATGGGAGCTGAGGGAGCCTGGAGCAGACACAGGCCCAGTTCATATCAACCCAAACTAAACAGTTCGATGCCTCAATCCTACTTCAAGCGGCAATAAAATAAATGTATGAATCCAAAAGGCCTGTACCTAATTACCTCTGGTACGCACCAGAGAGAGCACAGAGAGAGCACACCAGAGAGAGAGCACCAGAGAGAGCACAGAGAGAGAGAACAGAGAGAGCACACCAGAGGGAGAGCACACCAGAGAGAGGGCACCAGAGAGAGCACACCAGAGTGAGCACAGAGAGAGAGGTCACCAGAGAAAACACACCAGAGAGAGCACAGAGAGAGAACACACCAGAGTGAGCACAGAGAGAGAGCTCACCAGAGAAAACACACCAGAGAGAGCGCACACTAGAACAGCTGTGGCCACATTATCTTTAACAGGAAACTAAACAGTAATGACAGAAGAATTGAGTTGGATGGATAAGAAGTTCTTACACTGCAGTAGGAATTTTGGCCCACTCCTCCACACAGACCCTCTCCAGAGCGTTCAGGTTTGGGGGCTCTCGCTTCAGGTCTTGAGACTGAGGCCACTCAATCTGCAGTGTATCAATTACTTTTTTCTCCCCACTGTATATTCAGTATATTACTGTACATGTATAAAACCATATGAAACCATCACCAGACTGAATACTGTGTCACTGTGTGTGTGTGTGTGTGTGTGTGTGTGTGTGTGTGCGCGCGTGCGTGTGTGTGTCTCTGTGTGTGTTTGTGTGTCTCTCTTTCTCTGTGTGTAGCAGCCGGATGTCCCGTTGGACAGCAGAGGCGACGTCCTGGTCCTGTCTTCTGTGTCCCGTAAAGACAGTGGTCTGTATCAATGTCGTCCTGGAAATCCACACAACTCGTCTGAAGTCAAAGGAGAAGTACAACTCACCGTCCACTGTTAGTGCCCCCCACATACACACACACACACACACACAGAGAGACACACACGTACACACATCTGGACTCTGTGAGGACTGGTGTAAATATGTTTCAGACCTGGACTCTGTGAGGACTGGTGTAAATGTGTTTCAGACCTGGACTCTGTGAGGACTGGTGTAAATGTGTTTCAGACCTGTACTCTGTGAGGACTTGTATAAATGTGTTTCAGACCTGGGCGGCACGGTGGCTGAGTGGATAGCACTCTTGCCTCTCAGCAAGAAGGTCCTGGGTTCGAATCCCGGTTGGACCAGGGCCTTTCTGAGTGGAGTTTGCATGTTCTCCCCGTGTCTGCGTAGGTTTCCTCCGGGTGCTCCGGTTTCCCCTACCACTAAAAATATGTACAATAGGTCTGGCATGTGCCTCCTGTACTGGCACCCCTGCTCCCAAAAATAACAATTGTAAACCGCTTTGAGACTCCGATGTGCAGTGAAAAGGCGGTATATAAATAAAGATTACTTACTTACTACTACTACTTACCTGGACTCTGTCAGGACTGGTGTAAATTTGTTTCAGAACTGGACTCTGTGAGGACTGGTGTAAATGTGTCTCAGACCTGGACTCTGTGAGGACTGGTGTAAATGTGTTTCAGACCTGCACTCTGTGAAGACTGGTGTAAACGTGTTTCAGACCTGGACTCTGTGTTTCAGGCCTGGACTCTGAGGACTGATTTAAATTTGTTTCAGACCAGGACTCTGTGAGGACTTGTGTAAATGTGTTTCAGACCTGGACTCTGTGAGGACTGGTGTAAATATGTTTCAGACCTGGACTCTGTGAGGACTGGTGTAAATGTGTTTCCGACCTGGACTCTGAGGACTGATTTAAATGTGTTTCAGACCTGGACTTTGTGAGGACTGGTGTAAATATGTTTCAGACCTGGACTCTGTGAGGACTGGTCTAAATGTGTTTCAGACCTAGACTCTATGAGGACTGGTGTAAATGTGTTTCAGGCCAGGACTCTGTGAGGACTGGTGTGAATGTGTTTCAGACCTGGACTCTGTGAGGACTGGTTTAAATGTGTTTCAGACCTGGACTCTGTGAGGACTGGTGTAAGTGTGTTTAAGAACCTGGACTCTGCAAGGACTGGTATAAATGTGTTTCAGACTTGGTCTCTGTGAGGACTGGTGTAAATGTGTTTCAGACCTGGACTCTGAGGACTGATTTAAATGTGTTTCAGACCTGGACTTTGTGAGGACTGGTGTAAATATGTTTCAGACCTGGAGTCTGTGAGGACTGGTGTGAATGTGTTTCAGACCTGGACTCTGTGAGGACTGGTCTAAATGCGTTTCAGACCTAGACTCTGTGAGGACTTGTGTAAATGTGTTTCAGACCAGGAGTCTGTGAGGACTGGTGTGAATGTGTTTCAGACCTGGACTCTGTGAGGACTGGTGTAAATGTGTTTCAGACCTGGACTCTGTGAGGACTGGTGTGAATGTGTTTCAGACCTGGACTCTGTGAGGACTGGTGTAAATGTGTTTCAGACCTGGACTCTCTGAGGACTGGTGTGAATGTGTTTCAGACCTGGACTCTGTGAAGACTGGTGTAAATGTGTTTCAGACCTGGTCTCTGTGAGGACTGGTGTAAATTTGTTTCAGACCTGGACTCTGTGAGGACTGGTGTAAATGTGTTTCAGACCTGGACTCTGTGAGGACTGGTTTAAATGTGTTTCAGACCTGGACTCTGTGAGGACTGGTGTAAGTGTGTTTCAGACCTGGACTCTGCAAGGACTGGTGTAAATGTGTTTCAGACTTGGTCTCTGTGAGGACTGGCGTACATTTTTTTCAGATCTGGACTCTGTGAAAACTGGTGTAAATGTGTTTCAGACCTGGACTCTGTGAGGACTAGTGTAAATGTGTTTCCGACCTGGACTCTGAGGACTGATTTAAATGTGTTTCAGACCTGGACTTTGTGAGGACTGGTGTAAATATGTTTCAGACCTGGACTCTCTGAGGACTGGTGTAAATATGTTTCAGACCTGGACTCTGTGAGGACTGGTGTAATTGTGTTTCAGACCTGGACTCTGAGGACTGATTTAAATGTGTTTCAGACCTGGACTCTATGAGGATTGGTGTAAATGTGTTTCAGACCTGGACTCTGTGAGGACTTGTGTAAATGTGTTTCAGACCTGGACTCTGTGAGGACTTGTGTAAATGTGTTTCAGACCTGGACTCTGTGAGGACTTGTGTAAATGTGTTTCAGACCTGGACTCTGTGAGGACTGGTTTAAATGTGTTTCAGACCTGGACTCTGTGAGGACTGGTGTAAATGTGTTTCAGACCTGGACTCTGTGAGGACTTGTGTAAATGTGTTTCAGACCTGGATTCTGCGGTGGTGGTGCCTGCAGAGACTGAGATCATGCTGCGAGGTGAAGACCTGACCGCCACCTGCAACGCCCTGTCCTCCCTGCAGACCAGCACTGTCTGGTACAAGGTCTGACTGACACATACATACACACATATATACATGCACACACATACATACACACACATGATTTTAATTGAACCACACCAGTAACAGCAGATCAGAGTCTCGACATCATCACTGTATACTCAAAATATGTGGTAATGAAGCAGAACCAACTCTGACAGTGAAATGCCTGCAGATGTCCTCAGTGTCTGTCCTCATTGTCTCTGTCCTCAGTGTCTCTGTCCTCAGTTTCTCTGTCCTCAGTGTCTCTGTCCTCTGTCCTCAGGAAGGCCGTGTGGTTGGTTCTGGTCCCAGTCTCTTGCTGCAGGACGCCTCTTACCACACTGCAGGAGAGTATGTGTGTGAGGTCACGGTCCCCACTCTGCCCTCTCTGCACACACAGAGCAGAGTCCACATCCTGGTGCACGGTGAGACTGTCCTCTGTCCACATCTGTCCTCTGTCCTCTGTCCACTGTCCACTGTCCTCTATCCACATCTGTCCTCTGTCCACATCTGTACACTGTCCCTATGTTGATGGTATGTTTGATGATATGTTAATGGTACACTACCGTTCAAAAGTTTGGGGCCACATTGAAATGTCCTTATTTTTGAAGGAAAAGCACTGTAGATAACTTTAAACTAGTCTTAACTGTAAAGAAATACACTCTATACATTGCTTATGTGGTAAATGACTATTCTAGCTGCAAATGTCTGGTTTTTGGTGCAAAGTTGCAATTGCTGCAAATAGAAGATTCTTTGAGGAAAGAAAAGTTGGATGTAAAACAAATCTTATTTCAAATACAAATCATTATTTCTAACCTTGTCAATGTCTTGACTCTATTTTCTATTCATTTCACAAAGTATGGTGGTGAATAAGTGTGACTTTTCATGGAAAACACTTGGGTGACCCCAAACTTTTGAACCGTAGTGTATGTTTGATGGTATGTTGGTGTTATGTTTGATGGTATGTTGATGGTGTGTTGATGCTAGGCTGATGGTGTGTTTGATGGTATGTCAATGGCATGTTTGATGGCATGTTGATGGTATGTTGATGGTGTGTTGATGGTATGTTTGATGGACTGTTCGATGGTATGTTGAACGTATGTTGATTGTATGCTGATGGTATGTTGATGGTATGTATGATGGTATGTTGATGATATGTTGATGGTATGTTGATGGTATTTTTGATGGTATGTTGATAGTATGTTTGATGGTAAGTCGATGGTAAGTCGATGATGTGTTGATGTTGTTTAATGGTATGTTGATGGTTTGTTTGATGGTATGTTGATTTTATGTTTGATGGTATGTTTATGGTGTGTTGATGCTATGTTGATGGTATGTTTGATGGTATGTTGATGGTTTGTTGATGCTATGTTAATAGTATGTTTGATGGAATGTTTGATGGTATGTTGATGGTAAGTCGATGGTGTGTTGATGTTGTTTAATGGTGTGTTGATGTTGTTTAATGGTATGTTGATGGTTTGTTTGATGGTATGTTTGGTGGTGTGTTGATGGTATGTTTGATGGTATGTTAATGTTATGTTGATGGTATGTGTGATGGTATGTTAATGTTATGTTGATGGTATGTGTGATGGTATGTTGATGGTATGTTAATGTTATGTTTGATGGTATGTTGATGCTATTTTACAATACAATTTATTCTTGTATTTCCAAAAATCACAACAGCATCATCTCAGAGACTTAACAAAACTCACCAACACAGATCAGAGAATCAACAGTTAAAACACAGAAAGAATTTAGATTCAGATTCAGTTTATTTGCCATTTGCAGTAAAAAAACCACATTGGAATACATTAGCAAAAGTCTCCAGTGTGCACAGACAAATACAGACATAAAACAACATTAAAAGACAAAAATAAAACATGTCACTGTGAAATCAATCGACTAAAACAGTTTCAAAACGAGTGCAAATCATTAAAGTGCTCTGTTCACACTGATAACAGCCTGTGGATAAAAACTGTTAGCGTAACGAGATGTTCTGCATCTCAGAGAGAGATATCTTCTGCCAGAGGGAAGAAGCTGGAACATGGCTTTTCCAGGGTGGCCAGAAGAGTCATTGACAATCCTAAGAGCTTTGTTTAAAAGTCTGGATTTATAAAGAACCTCCAGAACAGGAAGCTCACAGCCCACGGTCCTCTTTGCAGAGCGGAGCACCTTGTTTAAAGCTCTCTTTTCTTTATCTGTGATGTTTCCAAACCACACAGACACAGAACCAACAAGTAAACTCTCAATGGTGCAGCGATAAAAGTTAAGCAGAATCTTAGAGTTAGTGGTAAATTCTCTAAGTTTACGCAGAAAGTAGAGACGCTGACGAGCTTTCTTAACGACTCGGTCAGTGTTTTTAACCCATTTCAGGTCGTTAGACAGAGTTAAAACCCAAAACTTGCACTCCTCTACGATCTGCACCTGGGAGTTGTCGATTACGACAGGCAAATGAGAACTATTGCGACTGAAGTCGTAGACCAGTTCACATGTTTTCGATGCGTTCAACTGGAGGTTGTTAGTTTTACTCCACTGAACCACATTTTGTATCTCTGCTCTATAAGAGGATTCATCATTGTTACTGATGAGACCGATGATGGTGGTGTCATCAGCATATTTGATGATCAAGTTTGAGTCAGAGGAGGACACACAATCGTGAGTGTACAAAGTAAAGAGCAGAGGACTCAAAATACATCCCTGAGGAGAACCAGTGCTCACAGAAACAACATCAGAAAAACAGTCATTGATTTTCACTCTCTGAGATCTGTCAGTTAAAAAGCTAAAAATCCATTTACACATGGCAACACTTAAACCGAGAGACATGAGCTTTTCAATCAGTTTACCTGGGACAAGGCAGTTAAAAGCAGAGCTATAATCGATGAAAAGCATTCTCGCAACAGATTTACTAGTGTCCAAGTGACTGTAGACAGAGTCCAGAGCAAAGGAGATGGCATCCTCCACACTCCTGTTCTGTCTGTAAGCAAACTGGAGCGGGTCAACACTCACAGGGATCTGGCTCTTAATGAAGTCCAGCACGAGCCGCTCAAAAGTTTTCATAAGAACAGACGTTGATTAATGCTGAGGTATGTTGATTGTATGTTGATGGTATGTTGATGGTGTGTTGATGGCATGTTTGATGGTATGTTGATAATGTGTTGAAGATGGTTGGTTGATGGTATGTTGATGATGTGTTGATGGTGTGTTGAAGATGGTAGGTTGATGGTATGTTGATGGCATATTTGATGGTATGTTGATGGTGTGTTGATGGTATGTTGATGGTATATTTGATGGTGTGTTGATGGTATGTTGATGGTGTGTTGATGGTATATTTGATGTTATGCTGATGGTACTGTTTATTTGATGGTATGTTGATGGTACTGTATATTTCATGGTATGCTGATGGTACTGTTTATTTGATGGTATGCTGATGGTACTGTATATTTGATGGTATGTTGATGGTATGCTGATGGTATGCTGATGGTGTGTTGCAGGCTCTCCTCAGATCCAGAGCCCAGAGCAGGACCTGCAGTTGGAGCATCCCACTGGAAGGGTCCTGAACCTCAGCTGTGAGGCCCAAGGATCCCCCCCTCCTGCTGTGACCTGGAGCCTCCCCCCAGGACAGGTACCACCCTGACCCCTGACCTCTGACCCCTACTCCAGTGGGAGGAGGTGCCACTGTTAGAACGCTCCTGTTTCTGGAGATGTTTCTGTCATTTTGTTTAACTACAAAAAGAGGAGGTGCTGTGACGCTCTCTCTCTCTCCTTCTCTCTCCTGTTTGCTCTATCTACTAGGTCCTCCTCTCTCCTCCTCTCATGCCTCCTCTCACGCCTCTCTCCTCCTCTCTCCACAGATCTTTGAAGTGCTCTCATGCTCTCCTTCTTTCCCCTCCTCTTTCCTCCTCTCTCCTCCTTTCACTCCTCTCTCACGCCTTTTTCCTCTCTCCACAGATCTTTGAGAAGGTGCTGTCTGGCTTCTTCTCTCTCTCCTTCTCTCACAGCCTCTCTTGTCTTCTCTACGCAGATCTTTGAGGAGGGGCTGTCTGGCTCCCTCCCCCTCATCCTTTCTCCTTCTCTCACACCTCCCCTCTTGTCTTCTCTCCACAGATCTTAAAGTCCTCTGAGAAAACTACTGTTGTGATTTAGGGCTTGACAAGAGTACATTTAATTTAACTGAATCTTTTAGGAGGTGCTCTCTCCTCTCACTCCTCCTCTCTCCTCCTCTCCACAGATCTTTGAGGAAGTGCTGTCTCGCTCCTCCTCTCACTCCTCCCTCAGTGTGGTGTCGCTCTGGGTCAGAGCAGACTTCACTGCTGTGTGTAACGCTTCCAACGAACTGGGATCAGACGCAAGAATCTACACTGTCTCAGCAGGTACACACACACACACACACACACATATACACATGCACAAAATATACACACACAATAATATACACACACACATATACACACACACACACATATATGCGTACACACAGAGACACACACATATACACACACACAAATACACATGTTAAATAATATACACACACACATTTTTACATAAAACGGTGAAAGTACCATGTGCTTTGTCCACAGTTCCCATGGTAACGTCTCCTGCTGCCTTCTCTCCAGGTAAACTCCAACTAACTAGTCCTTCTGTTTGACCAAAACCCACGTAGAGCCTGTGTCCTAGTCCCTGTGTACCTGTGTTAGTCCCTGTGTACTAGTCCTTCTGCTGTGTACCTGTGCTAGTCCCTGTGTACCTGTGCCAGTCACTGTGTCCCCGTGCTAGTCCCGGTGTACCTGTGCTAGTCCCAGTGTACCTGTGCCAGTCCCTGTGCTAGTCACTTGTACAGTCCAATGTTTATGTCCTCAGTCCAGTGTGTGTTTAAAGCAGTTGTGTGTCTCTCCAGCAGAGGGCAGTGGTGTGTTTAAAGCAGTTGTGTGTCTCTCCAGCATAGGGCATTGGTGTGTTTAAAGCAGTTGTGTGTCTCTCCAGCATAGGGCAGTGGTGTGTTTAAAGCAGTTGTGTGTCTGTCCAGCATAGGGCAGTGGTGTGTTTAAAGCAGTTGTGTGTCTCTCCAGCATAGGGCAGTGGTGTGTTTAAAGCAGTTGTGTGTCTCTCCAGCATAGGGCAGTGGTGTGTTTAAAGCAGTTGTGTGTCTCTCCAGCATAGGGCAGTGGTGTGTTTAAAGCAGTTGTGTGTCTCTCCAGCAGAGGGCAGTGGTGTGTTTAAAGCAGTTGTGTGTCTCTCCAGCAGAGGGCAGTGGTGTGTTTAAAGCAGTTGTGTGTCTCTCCAGCAGAGGGCAGTGGTGTGTTTAAAGCAGTTGTGTGTCTCTCCAGCATAGGGCAGTGGTGTGTTTAAAGCAGTTGTGTGTCTCTCCAGCATAGGGCAGTGGTGTGTTTAAAGCAGTTGTGTGTCTCTCCAGCAGAGGGCAGTGGTGTGTTTAAAGCAGTTGTGTGTCTCTCCAGCAGAGGGCAGTGGTGTGTTCATTGTGGTCATCATCCTGGGGCTTCTTCTGCTCGCGGTGCTTGGCAGCATCATCTACTTCCTCCACAAGAAGAACCGCCTTCTCTGCGGCCGCTCGGGAAAACAGAGCATGTGAGTACTATTACTACTACCACCTGAGAGCATGTGAGTACTATTACTATAACCAGTGTTGTGCGTGAACGCGTTCATTGAACACGCTCATTTTTCCGTGAACGTTGAACTGAACGCAACACATTTTAAAAAAAAGAACTTGAACGTGAATTAGTTCATTTTATGTGTCATGAACGGCAGACATCACTGTGAACGTTGGAATCTGTTTTCTCTTTTGAAACGCAACGAGAGAAAGTTCCTCCCTCCTGTATTCTCGCACTTTTTCCGCCGAAAACTAAAAATTCCCACAGTTTCCACCGTCTGTGAACGCACCCCGACTCCGTGTTGCGGTGCGGCGCTGTGAGCTGGTGCTTTTCACATGTGCCAGAGTCGTGATGAAAACACAGGGTGAGTTAGCGACAAAGTTTACACCGTTTACATTTGACATAAAGTATAGACACACGCACTGCAGCGCATTACTGTCTGTAGTTTATGAGCAGAGATGGAGCAACTCTGTTTTGCTCCCATTGAAAACCATGTAAATCTGGTCTGTTTTGTAGTCAAAAGGCTCTCCTCCTGTGGGTGTACAGGAGATATATATATACATATAGCTCATAGTGTGAAAAAAATATGTATTTATCTCACGAAAAAAGTAAAATGAACTGAACTTTGAACTAGTTCAGAATTAAAAATGTGAACTTTGAACGTGTTCTGTTCACTTTGAGCATGTATGAACTGAACTTGAACTAGTTCAGAAAAGCTGTGAACTGGCACAACACTGCATAGGAGGGGGGGGGGGGGGGGACATGAAGTGGGAGATGGGGGGGGGGGGTTAATAAAAAAGGCAATACAAGCAAACAGTATACAGTCATAGATATACCGAAAGTAAACAGAGAAACAGCATAGAGTATTTACATGAACAAATGTACAAAATATTTACAGATTGTTTATCATCATCATAATGACACCATGATGTTTCTATACAGTCTATGGCAGGGGTCACCAACGCGGTGCCCTGCGGGCACCAGGTCGCCCGCAAGGACCAGATGAGTCGCCCGCTGGCCTGTTCTAAAAATAGCTCAAATGGCAGCACTTACCAGTGCTATTCTTGTTTAAATCATACTTACATGCAACTTACAAATGGCATATAAACTAGAGCCGGGACTTTAACAAGTTAATAAAGATTAATTAATTACACACAAAAAAGCGCGTTAAAAAAATTACGCATTTTAATCGTATGTATTTTTGCACCGCGGAACGTTCCTCACTGAATAAGTTTCAGACGGACCAATTGAACTGACGCACCAACCGGAGCTCCGTGACTTTTCTTGTTCAAAAGTACATTATTACAAGCAGAGACCAACTTTAAATTCGAGTAAATTAGACGGGAATGAGCGCTGTGTATGGAGCGATGGACTCTGTGTGTGAGGAGGAGGAGCAGTGACTCCTGTGTGAGCGGAGGAGGAGGAGGAGGAGAAGGAGGAGCGAGACACAGGTGTGTGAGCTGCTAATGCTGATGTTTACTCCGAATGCACACATCAAAAACGTATTATAAAAGCTTTAGCAAACAGCGCATGCCCAGCTTTAATGCTCACAGCGTGTGCAGTGGATGTTGGGCTTAAAAAGAGTATGTTGTCGTCAGTGTGAGGAGGAGGAGGAGGAGCATATGTTGTCGTCAGAGTGTGGAGGCAATGACAGAAACGTTATTTGATGTTTAGAAGTTATCCCTTAAACTCCATATTAACATGTGTTGCTTAAGCCTCATGTATTCAGTCATTATTCAATGGTAAACTAAAAATCCATGTGAAAAAAATTACTTCTCACTGTTCTCAGGTCAAATATTTATATGCGATTAAAATGTGATTAATTGCGATTAAATGGGACTGTCTTAGAAGTGATCATTTGTTAAATTTGAAAAATGTGCACTTAGAGAAAATATAAAAGTTTTTCCACAAAATAAATATAATTAATTATTAGTAAAAACATAGAATTAAAGGTAAATTGAGCAAATTGGCCATATCTGGCAATTTATTTAAGTGTGTAACAAACTGGTAGCCCTTCGCATTAATCAGTACCCAAGAAGTAGCTCTTGGTTTCAAAAAGGTTGGTGACTCCTGGTCTATGGTCTATACCCACACATACACACACACACACCCACACACACACCCACACAAATGTGTGACTAATTTGCGATTAATCGCGAGTTAACTATGAAATTCATGCGATTAATCGCGATTAAATATTTTAATCGTTGGACAGCACTAATATATATATACTGTATATATATATATATATATATATATATATATATATATATATATATATATATATATATATATATATAGCTCGTAGTGTGATAAAAAGTATTTATTTGACTATTTCACCAAAAAAGTAAAATGAACTGAACTTGAACTAGTTCAGAAAAGCTGTGAACTGGCACAACACTGCCTACTACCACCAGAGAGTATGTGAGTACTATTACTACTACCACCTGAGAGTATGTGAGTACTATTACTACTACCACCTGAGAGTATGTGAGTACTATTACTACCACCACCTGAGAGCATGTGAGTACTATTACTACTACCACCTGAGAGTATGTGAGTACTATTACTACCACCACCTAAGAGCATGTGAGTACTGTTACTACTACCACCCGAGAGTATGTGAGTACTGTTACTACTACCTTTTCCTAAGAATATGAGAGTACTTTTACTGCTACTTTCACCTTAGAGTATGTGAGTACTGCTTGTAGGTTTGGGACACGCCCCCTACTGGTACAGCACAGGTACAGTACAGGTACAGTATTGGTACAGTACTGTACCTGTGTTGTACCATCTCCCTGAAGGTTGTGGTGAGGTCCTGGATGTGGCTCCTGGGCGACCTCTGCTCCTGACCTTGTGTGTCTGTGTCTGTGCGTCTGTGTGTGTCTGTACGTCTGTGTCTATGCGTGTCTGTGCGTCTGTGTGTGTCTGTGTGTGTGTGTGTGTTTCTGTGTGTGTCTGTGTGAGTGTGTGTGTGCGCGTATGTGTCTGTGTGTGTGTGTGTTTTTCCAGAACCAAAGAAAAGAGCAGTTCTAAGGAGATCGTGGTTGAGATGAAAACTGAGGAGTCTGTTCTGCTCAAAGCTGTGAACGGGGACAAGAAGACTCCAACTGAACAGGTACCACAGGTACCACAGGTACAGGAGGGACCACAGGTACCACAGGGACCACAGGGACAGGGACCACAGAGACAGGTATCACAGGGACAGACACAGAGACACAGAAGGACACATGTCTCAGACTCTCTCTTCTGTCCACAGTGAGGACCAGATTCCTGTGACTCTCCACTGGAGCTGACTCAGGGACCACGCGGTGGCGCTGTCCTGTTCAGCTCAGAGCCTCCTCCTCTGCTCCTCTTCCTGTTCCTCCCCCTTCTCCTGCTACTCCTCTTCCTCCCCCCTCCTCCTCCTGTTACCATGGAGACTGGCTGTAAATAGTTGTACATTTGTTCAGACTCTTGTGAAGCAATGATGACGCACTGCATTCTGGGAACTGCTGTCTGTACGCACTGCACCCTGCACTGTCCAAGGGCCTCCTCCTGGGGCCTCCATCAGGGGCCTACTCCAGGGGCCTCCATCAGGGGCAGACACTGCCTCAGAGACTTCTGTATAAAGCATGTGTTCAGTTAGATGTTCAGGTCAAATGTTAAAGATGTTGAACATAGAGCTGTCAGTGGCCTCCTCCTCCAGGGACCTTCTCCAGGGACCTTCTACAGGGGCCTCCTCCAGGGGCCTCATCCAGGGGCCTCCTTTGTCTGGGGCCAAACCCTGTGGATTCTGTGCTGGGGACATGGGAATGCTGTGTCCTGATGATGCAGAGACTGATTCCAGTTTAGTTTTGGTGCTCCTCCTGCTCCTCCCCGCCCCTTCAGCCAAAAGTCTCAGTTTTCAAATGTGTCAAACTGAGATGACGATGACGTCATGTTGCCGTCAAAGGAGGTTTGGGGCAAAGATTTAAAACATGGAATGCAGAAGTGAACACTGCCTAGTAGAATAGAATATTATTATGAAGGTTTTTAAGTGTTAAACCAGCGCTAAACAAGTGTTAAAAAAGCGCTAAAAAAGTGCTAAACCTTGTGCTGTGTTTCGGACCCAAACGCTCTGACAGTCGCTGCATCATTAGGACAAACCTTTCATTTCAGTGAATTCTACAAAGGCATTTATGACGCTGTTTGTTAAATGAGGATTCTGACTTGTACTGACTCTCACGGACTCTCACGGACTCTCACGGACTCTCACGGACTGTCCTGCGAGAACCGTTCTGCGGGGACCGTCCTGTGGGGACCGTCCTTTCTGGTGCATGGACATGTGGACTGTGTCCTTTTCACTCTGACGCAGTGAGGCCATGGGGAAGACGCAGTGAGGCCTCGGGGGAGACTCAGTGAGGCCCGGGGCAGACTCAGTGAGGCCCGGGGCAGACTCAGTGAGGCCCGGGGCAGACGCAGTGAGGCCAGGGCAGAGGAGAAGAGTCTGTAAACACTGGACTCAGAGCTCTAGGAAGTGATTAAGTCTTTGAAAATCCAGACGTGTCTTTAATCCACTGAACCGACCAATCAGGAGCCTCCTCTCTGCTCCTTTTACTGCCATTTGCAGTAAAACCACAAATGGCAAATAAAATGAATCTGAATCTGATCTGCTCCTCTCTGCTCCTCACTGCTCCTCTCTGCTCCTCACGGCTCCTCACTGCTCCTCTCTGCTCCTCACGGCTCCTCCCTGCTCCTCTCTGCTCCTCGCTGCTCCTCACGGCTCCTCCCTGCTCCTCACTGCTCCTCACGGCTCCTCCCTGCTCCTCTCTGCTCCTCACTGCTCCTCACTGCTCCTCTCTGCTCCTCACGGCTCCTCCCTGCTCCTCTCTGCTCCTCGCGGCTCCTCCCTGCTCCTCACGGCTCCTCTCTGCTCCTCTCTGCTCCTCACGGCTCCTCCCTGCTCCTCTCTGCTCCTCTCTGCTCCTCACTGCTCCTCTCTGCTCCTCACGGCTCCTCCCTGCTCCTCTCTGCTCCTCGCTGCTCCTCACGGCTCCTCCCTGCTCCTCACTGCTCCTCTCTGCTCCTCACGGCTCCTCACTGCTACTCACTGCTACTCACTGCTCCTCACTACTCCTCACCGCCTCGTTCCTCTGGGAAGTGAAAAGTATTTAAACTTGTTGGATTCTGAGACTTTGCTTGTTTAGTTTTTTGGAGTTTGTTGTGTGTAATTTAAATTGATTGTGTTGTTATTTTGTATTTTTTACATCTTTTTGCATTGAAGAAAAATAAAGGTCCAGTTGTGTTTCACTTCATGTTTAGGCCCATGACTGTTGTGAAAACATGAATTATAATCCTGTGGTCAGAGTTGCTACAGAGACTAGTCCCAGACTAGACTTTTTAGTGACACTAGATAGAGATACATACAGATAGTGGTGACATTAGGCCTCATGTATGAAAATTGCGCAGAAAAAGGTGTACATTTTGGGTGTAGATCCCAGATAGCAAGATCTGACGTGGCATTTATGAACGTGTGAGATACGCACAGATCTGAGGTACGCACCTGCGGCTGTTGATAAATGCCGCGCTCAAAACCAGCGTATAATGAAAGTCACGGCTATGAATATTCAGAAACTGCCTGCTCCACGCACTGATTTTGCGACAGGTCAGCAGGAAGTCGGCTAAGAAGGCCGCAAAAAGCACACACTTTTGAGTTTATTTACGTTTAAAAAAAAATTATATATACGCTATATTATATACAGTATAAACCTTTTTCCCTAGTGTCTAGACCCACTGCAGCACTCATCTCTCCTGAAATTTTGACGTAAATAAATAAATCATAAATGACCTGAATGAATGAATGAACTATACTGCTGGTGCGTGTCGCATCCTATCTTTGCTGCGGAGAACAGGGCAATGGCTGAGACAGTTTTGAGCAAGATCAGGTGCATTTATGGGGCTTTATGTACAAAACTAAGGAAAACCCACATTGCTTTGCCAGAAGTGAATGAGGTAAAACATATGCGTAATTACGTGTACGGCGCAGGGTCTGCCACAGGTTGTTCATGCATATGTAAAAATAAATATACGCTATTTATTCAGCTGCGTTTTGAATAGATTTGCAGAAATGTTTCGATAAATTATAAAAATCTCTCTTGGTTTGTAGAAGTGAATAAATAAAGAATGAATGAATGAATTCATATTGTCAGCGTGGCTCTCATCAATGAAGCGTCTGCAGGGTCTTGTGAATGCACTGAAGCGCTGTACACTTGCGAGAGCGTTTGCGGTCCAGATTTTACAGAGAAACTCTGGAGCCAAGACTTCTGATTGACAGCATTTGAGGAGTTATGTGGCGCAACCTCTCACGGCACCTGCTATGGATGCACTCCCAAGAGTGCGCAGCGGGTGGACAGGGCAGTGAGACATTTGGAGTGAGCAATACCATAGTCCATCGGTCCATGCGTTAATGGGGTGTGTGTCTGTGTGAGGCTTACACAAATCTAATGAAAACATACATTGCGGCACACCGTGTAACTCTTGGCCACTAGGGGCGCTAGACCTGCAACTTTCACGTTTAGCGCCCCTAGTGGCCACAAGCAACTCAGCACTGTCGCAAAAGTCAACAAACAGTCAGCCGGTGTCTTTTGAGTGTGTATTCAGACAGCATGCACTGGTGTGTGTGTTCAAACTGTAGAGACATGCCTACAGATATTGAGAGACTCTGCTGTGGTCAGCCTCCAGACCGCTGCATTAGTAATCTACCACACATGGACTTCTATATCCTGGATGAGGGAGTTCTGCGTCTAGCTCGTGCTGCGTGGAATGACATCTTTGCAGTCGATGACATCCAGGAACCAGGTGAAGAGCAGCGCTCATACAGACATGCAGCTTACAGCACGATCCCTTTCGCGTTTCCTCTTTTTAGCCTCCTCCGAAGGTTTAAAATTTTTCCTTGCCTCAGCCATGACCAGGAGTCGAGCAGGTGAAAAATGAGTAGCAAAAGCCTTAGCTCCATGAGTATATCAGCGCCTGTAGCCGTAAAGCAAGTGTTTCTTCCAAGTCACGTGACCTGGTGGCAGACGGTCCGTCTGCTCGAAACTTACATGGGCGGTATTTCAAGAGGGCAGCCCCGCTCGGAGCATTGCAAGTGTCAAGCGCTGTATATTGGCCCAAGTATTCATATAAAATAACTCATATGTGTCAACTCTTTAGGTCACAAAGTCCGCGGTGTGCCAGATGTGAGGACTACAAATAGCCGTGCGTAATTACGCAGCGCAGAGCCTTCCACAGCAATAGCTGGGTCACACATCCCTGTTGCGCAAAGTGTATTTGTATAGAGCCTTTCACTGTCCAGGATCACAAAGCGCTTCACATTTTAAAAACATACAAATCAAAATAATACACACAGAAGTCAGATTTAAAATAGTTGAAACAGAACAGGCTCCTCATCATGATCTGTGATTTATTCAAAGTGTTTGCAGAGTGTTAGACTTTTTCTGATGCGCAAATTCAAATTCAGAAACATGATGCTCCATGAAAACGCAGCTTATAATGTGCCAGAGTGGGAACATATTTATTGTTGTCCAAATCTTGAATTTCATGCGTGCTTTGGCGTGTTGTGACGAAGGGTGAAATGAGCGTACACATTTACACCACCTATTGACTTGGTGTAAATTCTGTGCGTACCGTACGCTCACGTCCAGATTGATAAATGCGGAAAATTAATTACCTAATGTAACTTAAGTTCTACGAATAGGTGCGTAGTCCCTTAGGACTTCGCTAGTGGGATATCACTCGTGACCCCCAGGTCACACGCCAGAGAGATCAAAATAATTTGCTCCAATCACCGGCGACCCTCCTCTATAAAGGCCCCTGCACAAGGCCGCACCGCCTCTTGAACTCTGCCAAGCCGGGCTGGCCTGATGGGCTCGTAGCTAAGGGACTACGCACCTATTCGTAGAACTTAAGTTACATTAGGTAACTATTAATTCTACGTCATGGTGCTACGTCCCTTAGGACTTCGCTAGTGGGACACAACGCGGAGGCCGTAGGAACATGTACTCCCAGCAGGCCAGCGAAGAGTGATTGGAGCTCCGCCCGAGCAAGACCCTCACAATGTGAGAGGACTCAGGGCAGAAGAAGCAATTGCGTGTTATAGTGCCACTCCTCCCAAGGATTCCCCCACGTAACACAGACCGTAGGTCACCCGTAGTCCCAGGACGCCTCTCCCAAGAGCTCCTGACGTGGACTACCTGACTGACCAAAGCACACAAATAAGTACCGCACCTTTAGGACGCCTCTCCCAAGAGCTCCTGAACCAGGGCGGAAAGTCAACCGAAGGCCCCCTCAGAGGAGGGACCTAACGGTCTCAACTCAGTCCGCTGCACTCAGCACGGAATGGGCCACCGACCGGTCCGACACATCCAAAAGATAAGACCGGACGAAAGAAGAGGACGACGCCCAAGAAGCCGCACGGCAGACGTCCTTGACCGACGCCCCCCTGAGGAGGGCCGTAGAGGCCGCCATCCCACGCGTGGAATGCGACCTGAAGCCCACCGGGGGGGCCAGACCCTGCGCCTGATACGCCCGCCGCACCGCCGATGCGACCCAGTGCGCCAGCCGCTGAGCCGACAGCGGGGCGCCCCTGTTCTTGGGGCCCAGACACACAAACAGCTGATCACCCAACCTGAATGAAGACGTCATGGCCAGGTAATGCCTCAGCATTCTGACAGGACACAGAAGGTGCCGCCGCTCCTCCTCGGGGGAGGCATGTGGTGGCGGATAGAATGCCCTAATCCTGATGACTCTCGACCTAAAGGCCGACGTGATGACCTTGGGGAGAAAAGCCGGATTGGGCCACAATTCCACCATGCCGTCGCTCTTTCCAAAGGACAGGCAAGACGCATGGATGGTTGCCCGCCCTCTTAGACGCCAACACCAGCAAGAGGGCCGTCTTAAAAGCGACGCACTCGGGACTCGCCTCCGCCGCCGGTTCAAAAGGCGGACCCGACAGCCCCCTAAGGACCACCCTGAGGTCCCAAACCGGGGGCGTTCTCTGGAGCGGGGGCCTCCTCCTGCGCGCCCCCTGCAGAAAACGTTTAACCAACGGATGAGAGCGGGCTGTGAACCCCCCGAACCCGACGTGACCCGAGGTAATGGCTGCCGCAAACACCGCCAAGGTGGCGACAGCCCTCCCTTTGTCAAAAAGCTCCTGTAGGAATACCAGGACCCCCTCCAGCGGGCAACGCCTGGGATCCCAGGAGCGAGAACCGCAGCAGTCGCTGAAGAGCCTCCACCTAGTGGCGTAGGCCCTCACAGTGGACGGCGCCCTCGCCCCCTGAATGGTCTCCACCACCGCGGGGGGAAGACCCAGGTCTACGAGGT